CCATCCATCCATCCATCCATCCATCCATCCATCCATCCTTTCACCCACCCCCATCCATCCATACATCCATCCATACATCCATCCATACATCCTCCCAAACACCCATCTTTCCATCCATTCATCAACCTGTCCATCCATCCATCCATCCATCCATCCATCCATCCATCCATCCATCCATCCATCCATCCTTTTTCATGCCATTGCTATTCATCAGATGATGTTTCAGGTTGGTAAAGAAGTGCCTTGTCAGCATCATTTCTAACACACTCTACAAACCTTTATCGAACAACCCTAGTATCAAAGATAAGAAGCATGGCTAAGGATCATGACTTGTATTTTCGTGATTCTGTACTTTTCATGATAACCTTTTTTTTTGCATGAACACGTACCGTGCCCGACTCGACATGCGTGCATGACCCAAAGTTGTTGTAAACATGTGCTGTATTCTGGTATCCCTGATGAAATATGAATGTCTAACTGCATGAATGTGTATTTTAGTTGTTTGACACAAAATTGTTCCAGCTTCAAATCCTCCAATAGTACCAGTACTTAAGTTTTTTGTGGACATGCTAACAAATCAGTCTCATTTTCCCTTCCAGTGCCAGTTCAAGGCGTCAGTGCAGTCAGAAGAAGTACATGTCACAGGCTCCTTCCCTAAAGAGCCCAAAATTGACATAAACGTGAAACAACCAGCTGGGAGCGAGGTACACACTTTTCTCCATTAGATTTACAGTATACAGCTCAACTCAAGTATGCACCCCCAATTTGGGGCTGGCTGCAGGCCATGTCTGTCTGGCTGAAAGATTTTTACAAAAATTGAAGTCAGATTATTCCAAAGTTAACATGACCAGACACACCTTTGGGAATTGCATGGAGATGTAGAAAAGAAGAATCCATCTGAATTAAACACAATTCTAAAAAAGTAAAATGAAGCACACTTGTCCTGACCTTCCTGTTCCCTGGTGTTGTTGGTTGTAGGAAGATGGCGTGGACACTGGGATCGTGCAGGGACTTGTGCGTGACACGCTGGCGGGGGCCGTCCTGACCATCAGCCTGTCCCTGCAGAGCATGCTGAGGGAGGGGAGGGACCAGCCGGACAGGTTACCCACGTTTGTGGACGGTCCCATCTCAGCACCCGGAGACAGAGGTGTTGCCAAGGTAAGGGCCTGTCATTCGATCATCGAATGATTGCAAACTGATCATGACAGCATTCTGGGGGAGTTGTTCATGTGTCATACAAAATTCAGCTGTCTTGTTGCAGAAAATTCTGTCTTGGATTCTTGGATTCATTTGGTTCAGTCATAGCCTGCTTGAAAATCCTGCTGCTGCTGGTGTTGGCAAGGTCACTTGTGCTCAGTGTACTTAACTACAGTTTATTGCCTATCTTTATTTCCTCCTTCAGCCAATAGTGACACGGAGATTATCCCCCTCAGGGGTCCCTCCCAAACCACCTCGGCTGCAGGACAGAAAACTGCTCGTCAAAGGTGAGTCTATGGGTATGAAGTCATCTTGAGCATTTTGAATTAAAGCCATTGTCTCTACACAGTTTAAAACTAATAATAAAAGGTGATTACAGATAAAGATTCACCACTGGTATGGAAAATTTCCCATATCAGAGTTAAAAATATTGTTTTAATCCCTCCAAAGATCAAATACAAGTTGAATCTTTCGAAACTGACATGTGGAGAAACTGCACCTATTTATGATAACATTTGCTTGACACAGCAAAAATCCTCAAACACAGGAGGGATTCTCCTTATTCCAAACGGGAGCCGGAGCAATTCATCTAACTTGTATATTGTGCAAAGTTCTTGCTCATGTCATCCATAGCCATGTTCCAATATCCCTAATGGCAAAACTATTTTAGACACTGATGGCCTTCTTTTTGCCTTGATGTAGTTATCAAAGCCAATGGTCTGCCAGGACGTAATGGCTTTGGCTCATGTGACCCTTACTGCATTATTGAGATGGACGCTCCTCTCCAGAAACACAAGACCAGCGTCATCAAGAACACAATCAACCCCTTCTGGGACGAACACTTCTTGTTGTGAGTTTCATCAGCTTAATAACTTTCCTTACTGCGTTTGGGAGCTAGAGCAGATAGAATCATATCTTGACTCTGTAAGATGTTCAAAATATCAGTCAGTCAAGTGCCATCTCTAATCATTATCATGTAAGGAATGTACATTTATTGGCATGAAGCCCTTGTACTCTTCTCTATCTTCTACAGACGTGGTATAATGATGATCCTTGGTTGAGAAATTTCTTTAATTATGAACATGATTTAATTTTACCATATGTCAGACTCAGATGTACATGTATGCTCTTTTGTATTACCCATTTCACATATACTTACTGGTAGTTTCTTCTTCTTTTCAGTGATCTTAGCACAAGAACAAAGGAGTTGAAGTTTTCTCTGTTTGATAGAGAAAAGGGATCTGACAATAGTAAGTGTGGGGTTCATCTCTTCTGTTAGCAACTCTTCTTATCTGAAAGTTTTCAATTATTTCAATTGATATGATGTCTTACAGATGCACATTTTAGCAGCAGAATTGAAAATATTTTGGATAACAAAATGTTCATTTCTGTATGTTTTAACCTCCCCAGATGATTTACTCGGTGAAGCTATCCTGCCGATGGACACACTAACTCAGAACCTGAGCTCCCGACAGATCATCCCGCTACAGAGAGCTTTTTCCACTGATGATGGGGTCAATGCTTCCATCACTGCTGAGGTGAACAACTTCATTTTCATGTGTTTTATTTATCTAGGGACCTCTTATTGCCACTGAGGCCTTTTCAAAGTGCCCTGGGGGCATTTACAAATAAGTTAAAGCATAATAAGATAACAAATCTAAACAAAGCAACTTCTGTACAAATAATTGTAAAATTAATCTGGTTTATTGGTTTATTAAGATGCCCTTTAACCCCAAGAGTGTACAATTTAAAGTACCTAATGCCACAAATCAATAGGCTGCATTAAACAACAAACAATGAAGCATAATATGTAACATAATATGTGACTACCGGTGTTCTAAGTCTGAAAGCAGGCTCCAAATTGTAATATGTTGTGTTTGACTTCTTTTTTGGAGACAGTGAAAGATGAAAGATCTCACTTTTCTGTAATGTGTGGGTCTTGTGATGTTAAGAGGAGAGTAGTTTTCTATTTGTCTGTAAATGTGTAAAAATCAGGATGGCATTTGTACAAATGTACATGAAGTACTGTGTCTGACCTGTGGATGTTGTGTTCCTTACTGCAGTTCTTGTTCATGGAGCCCTCGGCAGCTCAGCAGGTTCTGAACTCCCTACACCCCCAGCCATCCCCCATCAGGCCTCACTACCCCACCACCCCCCAGAAGAAGGTGGAGACCTACCGCACGGTCACCCCAGGGGGGACAGTCATCACCACACAGACCACCACGGTAGAGAGAGCAGCAAATGAAAGATCCATGCCTGGGTCTGTTCAGGGTAGGGCAGAACTTCATTTTCATAATTATTAAAGATTGAGGCTGATTGAGAGAAAGATCAACACAAGATTGAGAGACAAAGAAAATTTTTTATGGCTTTAATCTCATTATATAAAAACATCCTTGTCATGTCCTTTAGAATCCCCTGTTCAACAGAAGAAGTATGAGGATGACATGGAGGTTGTGGACCAGCCGGGACGGTTGTCTGTCCCCACACAGACACTCAGCGCATCACAGGGTAAGGAACTAAATATATTCATATTATTCAAATTTTCTCCTTCATTAATGAGATCACAGATTTATAGTATGGCCATTGTCAGGTGTGTCCCAGAGTGTCCAAAATATTCTTATAAAATAACTGTAGGATGACATCCTCAATTACAGTGCCACAGGAATTCTGTAGAGCCATCATGTTGCAAAAAAATGTCGCTACCATATATTCCTGATACATGTAGTTGTCAGAGAGGTTTCTTTTGTGACTGGATTAATTAATATGGGGACTTTGTATTTGTACAGAGCTGTTGATGATTGATGGGGTAGACTCTGTGGCGGAGACAGCCATCAGACAACTGAGGGAGATGTCCCAACAACGCAGCAAGACCCCAACAAAAACCAGCACACTTATCATTACAGGAGTCTCTAGGGTAGGTTAATACTGCTGCAGGAAGAGTGACTGTTAAAGGTTGAGATGTTACGGTTTGGGACTGTATTTAGCGGGTGGGAGGGTCGTCAGCAGGTCAAGGCTTTCCCGTCCTATTAACCATTCTTGTCAGGGCATTTCCATGTCGAGTTGATTGCCAGCAAGATCAATTGATATCCCCCCATATAAAGATACAGGGTTATCGGTAATTGTCATTAATTGCATTGGAAAAAGTCCTATCTTGAGGAACATACATTGTACTCAAGTCTGGTGTCCCACATGGATCACTGTGAGCGAGGAACGACTACACTGAAGTTCTCGGCTTTCATATTTTTCAAGACGGTGGCGAGTTTTCCACTGCAGCGAGTGGGGTTTACACACAGTGTGATGTGACTTCAGTATTTTCAAACCTATTGCCAGCCATCATTTGTCGTTTTGGGGATGGGGAATAGACCTGACAGAGAACCACCCTGGAAACTTCCTGATACATGTAGTTAATATCATCCTGCCCCTCAACACAGAACGTTTGACACCGTTGAGAGAGTCACAGTTCATGTTTTCATATAATAGAATACCCTAGCCACAAACTTGAGGTCTGGAGCTGATTTTTAAACATTTGACTGTAACATTACCCATATGTTTGAAGGTTTTGATGGAGATGACAGATTTTCTCATTGCCCTGCCCCCTGGCTAAAAAGAAATAATATAGATAAAAGTGAGTATGAAATGGTATCAGGGATCATTGCAGTAACAAACAGTAACTTTTACGTGTTACAGCGTTGTGTCAGTAAACTGGGATCACCAGGATGAATGGAACACCACTATCCTTGCCTGTAGTTATACATGGAACATTTAGCAAATTTAGCTTTAGCAGGGTAATAGTGTCCTGACCACTGCAGCATCAGACACCAAGGGAGTGATAGCGACCAAGGAAGGAGGGATGAGGTGCTTTTCAATCTTGTCTCAGACTGTAGCCGGGCAAGCGTTGCTTTCATGGCAAGATCACCTCTGCCTATTGCCATCCCAGACAACAAAATTTCTGTAGAAACCCGTATAGGGACTTGGACTTACATTGCACACACACTACCTGTACAAAATGTTGATGTGTGAATTTGTCACATGAAAGAGACTTGCTTCGAGACAGGAATTCCTACGGTGGAACACCCATACATTTACTCCAGAAGTCCTTATTACAAGCCCTTCAAAAATTTCTTTTTTTAACTTCTATTTCCAAATCATCTGTTTTCATTCATCACCATCAGGAGGAAATGGAAAATGAAGACATGATGTTGGAGGCTTCAGATAAAAACGTTGGTGGAAAGTTTGTTTATTTTTTGTATGCATGTTCAGTAGCTAGCCTGCAAGTTTGAATCATAATTCCTGTTTTGATTTCTTCTTTCTTCCTGTTTTCACACTTGCAATCAGATGGAAATCCCAGCAAAGGTATCCCATGTGTGTTCTGTTTGTGGTACATTATGTTTGTTTTGTTGTGTCCTATATTTTGTTTGTTTAGTTTATTTGAGTGGTTTGCATCTTGATTTCTTATTTCCACCATTTCATCTGAAACATTTTTCAACTACATTGAATGACCTACCCTAACCTTCACAGTAGCTATAGCTAGAGAAGACCTGTCCCTGTGTGAATCTTAACACCACAAACCTGCTGACTAACTTTTTCTGATATCACCATAATCAGCTGTCCGGGTAGAGAAAATTTTTTTGTCATGGAATGTCTTAACACTCTTTAGGTGGGCTCAGTCAAGGTTCAAGGTTCAAGGGACCAAATTTTTCCCATTTTTATCACATCCTATGTCAGTATGGAGAGAGTTGTTTTTGTATCTCATTGGAAATTGCATGTGCGATTGTTTCAAATTTCTGAAAGTGAAACTGCAACTAGAATAAAAACACAACTTCAGATTCTGTAATATTGTAAAATGACAGTACACTGCCAAAGCTTAAACTGTTCAACATTTTGTTTCCTCAGAGATAATAAACCAGGAATTATCCTAATCAATCATAAAAATATTCCTTCGGGAGAAAAATTATGATTTTTTTTTTAGGTTGCTGAATTCTCTGCCCTTAGCAGGTATCAGAATGTTTTTGATGCGTGGTTTCTCATAATGAAGTTCCCTGCCCCCTTCCCCTTGTTTCCAGAAACCAGCCAGTATGACTGACTTGTCTCCCACGGGACTGGCTGCGTTGGTTGGGCCCGGGTCGGAGGGGTATATCTCAGGGGATATCAGCGACAAGAGCAGCGACAAGCAGTCCCAGCCAGGTACCAGTGAGCACGACTCCCCTGCCCAGGACAGTGGCAAGACTCTACTGTCAGGTGAGGGAAGACAAGGTGTAGCAGATTAGCCACGAGCACTCAAGCACTCCTCATTGTTGCGGATGCTGGAAAAAGGAAGGGCGGTCCAGCTTGCCAGGCTACTGTGCCAGGCTACCCTTTCTGGTATTGCTATTGGAGACAATTTCCATTAGAGGCCAAATGTGCCCTTGGGGCCCAGTAAAGGTAGCAAGGCAAGGTAGACCAGCCTGGCTTTTCCATAAACCCCTCATTGTTGTACAGCAAGTATTGGAAAGGTGGGACATGAAAGGGAACTGACTACATTATTGTGCTGATACTGTAGCAAGTATTGTGTGTAATGTTGAAGTCAGAATATAGATGGTTAATGACATTTTTAGTTAGGCATCCACCCTCAAGATACATATATGCCCTCCCAACATGGCAAAACATGCAGTAAACTGATTGTTTACATTAGCCTTCATGTCAGTATTGGGGTCCCCTCTTTTACATAGATTTAACTGCACTTCTCCCAATGCCTCAGGGAGGTTGCCTGTTAGATTTTATTTCTCAGTACAATGTTATATATATCATACCCCTCACCATTATCTTTTGTTTCTTACTTCAGTCATAATTAATAATAGTGGTCTTGTTTCTTGTGCTGTAATTTTGACAAACAATTTAATCATTGATGGTAAAGGAATTCAGAATCGTTAAGATTCTGTACATAGGCTGTACTGTTCCAACTGTCAATGATTTTTTTGTACTGACTGAACTTTGAATCATGCAATCTTATGTATCTGATCATGGACTAATTTTCTGTCTTTTGTAGGGTTACTGAAGAGAGCAACAGGTATAAACAAGTATACTAACATTTATGACTTTCTTTTGGGGTTGGGAGGACAATACAATCATCACAATATATGTAGGGCTGATTGTACTAGTATTCCCTTACCTGACCTAACTTAAAATATTATAATTGCATGCAATTGCCCTGTTGTATTACCAGCATAGCATTGGTAGAAATCTTATTAGTAGTAATGGTATTTTAAAAATGTAGCCAACACTACATGTATGTGTACATGTTGTGATTACTGTAGTTCATTCTTTTGCTCTAGGGTATTGTTGGAAAAAAGTTAGGGACGTCATACAGATGGTGGAGGCACGCTCGTGAAGGCTGTTTTTCTACTCTGTGAACTTATTTTTTTCTGTGAATGATTTGTATTTAATTTAGTGATATAAAACCTTTGCATGTTGCAGCTACACGGTCTTCCCTGTCATTCTTGAGAGGCAGAAAGAAGATAAACAAACCAGGTATAACACTGTTGACTAGAAGGGTACTATGTACATACTAGTACTTAAGTGCTTGTGTACAATTTGTAATCACCCTATAGGTGAAGACGGGGAAAAGGACAAGTTAATACTAATGTCAAACAACATGAACAAGGTAGTCATTATATAATCAAGACTACATGTAGGGGATCAATTTTGCTGTTAAGTATACCGCAAACTAAACCTGGCTGGACTTTCTGTGAAGTCATCTACCTCCTCAGGTTATGGGAAAGCCACATCATTCAGCTGTCCACCTCCCTGCTTTATTTGAATCTTTTAACCTTTCTCAAAAGTCTTTTTTTCCTAACAATCTTGGACCTGTGTCTACTGCCACTCTGTCCTCTGCTGCCTGTATTCTGACCATTTCTGTGTTGATGTTCCAGTCCCATCTACAGATGAGGCCCTGATGCTGCAAGCGGGAGCCACTGCCTCCAGGCGGCGCTTCTTCCGGAAAAAAGAACGTCCGCACAGCTCTCACAGTGACCTGCTGGAGGCCCAGCAGTCCGAGGAGTCCACGTCGGTGGAGCTGGGACAGAAAATAACACGAGAAACCAAGGCAAAGTCAAAAAGTACATCCAAACTCTTTTCCAAGTTCTCATTCCGGGCGCTGAGCAAAGCATCCAAGAGTGCAAGTAAGAGCACTAGCAAGCTGGACAAAAAGTAACCTGCACTAACCAGCTTAGTCCTAATATATGCATCTTGCAGTCAAGCTACCTTTTAGTAATCGGTCTGTGTTGATTTTCATTAACATGTACTGGTATTGCTTGTCAAATTGTGGATTCGCTTGTCACACATGTTTTGTGTGTTAATGCGTGTGTGCATTGATTGAAACATTCCACTACAATCAAAAATAAGCAATTATTTGTAATACAGCAATTGGCAGTTGATCTGCCAGAGATTTTGCAGGACCTGGATGTACATTTTGTACCAGACTGAATGATGGAGAGTTTTCCTCTTCATGTGGTGACAATGATGTGTTGTGAGATTTTGCACCAGATCTCTTGCATCATCTGCATGTCTTGCAAATAGAAGGAATTTGATATGTTGAAATCAATCTTCAATTCAAAATTGCAGCGATTATATATGTATATATACATATATTATAACATGATGTAATTTTCAACTAGGGTGACGTTGTAGGTGTTAATTTAAGAGCATAAGAAAGTACAGACTGCTATGATGAAATTATGATGCCTAATTTAAGAACTTTGATATGCATGTACATGTACTACTTATACCACACCTTTAAACAAGAAGGGCAAAGGGATAGTCTTTTCCTACACAAGAAATGCAGGTCATAGGACTGATATCGGCAGAAAATTATCATCTCTAGGACTGTTGAACTAGAGTAGTAAAAACAAATAAAGTGGTTACTTTAGAAAATACCTACATTGTACATGTATCATATAGAAAGAAATAACCATTTAACTAACCTGCAGATGCAAAGCACTCACTTCTGGGTACTAGTATTTAAAGCTCCTCTGTTTATAGCCTGAATGCCAGACTCTCATCACTGGGCGAAATTTGGACAAGATCAGTTGGTCAGGATTCAGGAATGTCTACTGGAAAATTGTATGTGACATCAGGTGTTGGCTTCCCAAAAGTCACACATCAGAAGTGAATGGGTTAGACAACTCAACTTTTACTGCATTGAGAGTTAACGCAATGCTATAGTCTTTTACAAGGTTCTATATTATATGTATGAAAACTAGGGCTGTTACTACATTGTATAATGAGGGTCTGCATGCCCTTTTTCGTTAACCGTTATGGGCTATCTTAATTCACCGTTAATCGTTGCCGGCCCGCTCTAATTCAACGTTAAGCGTTATCAGTATATTGATCGTGAAGCGTTATTGGTCGTTTTAATTCAACGTAAAACGTTATTTGTCATCCTAAATTCAGCGTTAAGCGTTAATGAATAATTCTTCGTTACGCCTAATTTTGCCTTTCAAACTGCAGGAAAATGCGTCATTGAAGGTTTGAAAATCCTAAATTTCCCGGGGGAGAATACCCCCGGACCCCCCTACATTGCTCGCGCCTTTGGCGCTCGGCTCACGTGATATCTTGAGCAAAAATATGAAAGCATCAGAAGGACAGACAGTCACTCTCAACACCATAATTTGCCTCTAAAAATGCGGGAAATTGCGTTTTTGAAGGCTTAAAAATCCTAAATTTCCCTGACCCTCTCAGATTGCCAGCCTCTCAAAATCCATCGGTAAGACTGGGCGGACGGGCAAAAGTCAAGCTGGGAAGAGCCCTGGCCGACTCGGACTCCCTTTTATTTGTGGACGCACTCCGGGATCAGGGCATGTGGGAAACACAGGGAACACATACCTCTAATGCGTGCTTCATTACATGTAAGGTATACGTAATGTTGTCAGTGATCACCTTTTCTCACAAAGCGAGGATACCAAGTCCAGTGCTAGTGCAGCTCGAAAAAAATGCCTATCAATTTACCGTTAAGCGTTGCCGACCGTCCTGACTTTACCGTTAAGCGTTATCGGTCCTGCTGAATTTACCGTTAACCGTTGCCAGGACCCCCCCATGCAGACCCTCTATAATTATAGGAAAAGTACCCCATCCTTTAGTGGCAATATGCTGTAGGTTACTTGTATATAGTGTCATCATGTAGTTGTAATGTTATGTTATGGTAATAGTGGTTTGCAGGTCATGCCACTACTGCACCGATTTCATGCTTTACATGTAGTGCTTGTTGTTTGAAATGTAGAAAATGTATTTCATATATCTGGATGTGCTTGTCATATACCAATTTGGGTGATAAGGTATGAGGGAAAAGGAGATTTTTCGAGGTGTTTGGTGGTTGAAACAATTCTGTAGTACAGTAGAAATTTTTAAAAATCGCATATTTTCAGCATCATGATTTCATGTTGAGCGGTCACCAAGAAAAAATAATACTACCACAATAATTTCACGATTTGCAGTAATCAGGCTGGGACATGCTGATTGTCTTTGGCTAACAGGATAACTCAGAAAAGCTGTAAGTTACATATCTGATGATTTATTTTGTTTTTGTGAGATTTTGGCAGGACAAGTAGATTATGTTTTAGGTGGTGAAGGTTTTTAGGTGAAAATAGGGAGGTCACTCAATCCCAAGGTCTTTACGTGAATACCGGTAAGGTCTTTGGAAGAATATTGCCTTGTGATGAAAAAGGTTGTTGTAGATCCTTGCCACTGGTCAATTTTGCTGCAGACTGTGTCATTAATGGACAGCAGGTATGGGCAGGTGAACCAAAGGACATTTTTGTTTGTCAGGGGAACTAATAATCCAAGGAGGTGTACTCCATGTACAATGTATGAGGAGTAGTAAGGGCTCATAGGTTGCATGGGTTTTCTTCATGCAGTTGCAGAAAATTGTGCTCTTGCATTAAGGAAGGTAACCAGATAACTACCAGCCTGCATTAAACTTCACACACAACTTTTTTCCTGTTTAGCTTCCTGACTACCATAGATTTTCTGGCAGTAGTTTGGAGACAGTTGTAAACTGTAGTCAACAGAATGTTGATGATCAGTCTTTCATAATATGAATTAAGATATGTTTATGATGGCAGAAGTATAATTATACCCATTTGTTTAGATGTCTTGGTGCATGTGCTTACTGTAATGTGTCAAAGAAAATAGTGCTGGTTTGCTGTTGTGTTTGCTGCCTGGATAACTGATGTGTAATCTGTAGTAAAGACTGTTTTGTGTGAAATGACTTGCAATGACAGTGCTAAATGTGTAATATATTTCTTCATTTATGACAAGAAAGTGCTTTTAAGTTGATATGATATAATCTAAGATGAGAGATTTAAATTTATTGTAGATCGTCTTTGATTGGTAGTAAAAATTGTAGCACAGTTGAAGCATCAGTCTTGTGTGTGATATATAGGAAGCACAGAGAAATAAAATTTTCACATTTGAATTAAAAGCTAACTGGCTGTGGAGCTTTTCAATATGGTAATTAATCTGGGACTGCATGATGGTATTAATAGAGCAGCCTTCAGTGTCTGTGTCATCTTCCTGCATAATATTCAAAACTAATGAATGCAGCAGCTGCTGTGTCACGTGCCTGTGAAGCTGGTGTGTCATGCTGTGGTTTTACTAGTTAGAAGCTGGTCTATTCCACCAAAGGGTCAGTCTGTATAGCCAGTCCAATATTTATACTGGCTAAACAGATACAGAAAAATCTGACCAAGTAGAAGACCAATCCTAACCATGTTGCCATGACATGTCCAAAGTGCACTGACTGCAAAGTGGACAGCAGAACACAATTTACTACTAATGCACGGCATGTTTTCAACTGGCTTGTGTCAAGGTGAGTGTTCCATGATAATTGCATAGAAAATATTTTGTCTGCTACTACATTAGCTCAACATACTGACCAACAGTCTGCTACTGCAGTTGCTGTAATGTACTAGATAAAATGTCTTCTTTGACCGGTTCTGAGTATATATCACTCCCAAAACCATACTTGCACTGGGGATTTTTGATTTTGTAACATGTAGTTTGTTATTGGATTGACTTTATTTAAGAGATTTTTATTGCATTAAAATCGTGGTCAAGATACTTAGTGTTTCGAGTATGATACATGTTTTTTTAGAAATGACATGATTTTCAAAAATGATGTGTATGCATTTGCTTGTTCCACGGTAAGTTCCAAAGATAAGTACATATTGTCCTCAATTGATTTTGTTTGCATTCACACATACTGTAACTACATGTAACATGTTGTATGTCCGGATACCCCAAGATTAATGATCTCTGAAATGACAGTATACATGTAGGTTATATGGAATGATTTCAGAGATCCCATGACTGCCACAATGTATGTATCTTTACAATTACTGTGACTGCAGGTTATGAGCAGCTAGTGACCAAGTCAGAGACATCCAGCTTGCGGAGTTATGGGGCTCGGGCCTCAACTTACAGCTATGGCAGTGCCCGGTACAGCGGTATCAGTGGTAACTTGGAGGAGATGTCCATTACTGTGTTGGAGACTAAGAAGAAAGGACAGCTCAGGTCAGTTACTCCATCATTCTAGCCCTATGCTCTAGACTATATTCACTTGTGTCTTGAAATTGGGTCACATTGGTTTAATACTAGAGCATTGTTTGAAGCTCAATACTGCCAAGAATTTCAAAAATACCAGCCAAAGAAATCTCTAGGCAGATTGTAAGAGGGCAAATCATGATGTTTTCTTGCTGTCCCATTTTAACTCATTTTTTACTTGCAGGGTAGGTAGAAAATGTTATAGCTTATCCTCCAAAGACTTACTTCCTGACCACAAAATTATGTCGCTTCGTGCTGCCCTAGAACAAATTTTGCCAATTGTTTCCATTTATAACAGCCTATTAGACATTACAGTTATTACAGTTCAGGAATTGTTCCTCATGATTGGTTGCTCATTTGTATGTTGGTTGTTCCATCTTTTCACAGACACTATTTGATCCCGCCTGAGCTAGCCAGACGTAGAACCCTGAGGAGGAGAGGGAAGAAGCTCCATGTCCATAACGACCACTCATTTGTAGCCAAGCACTTCAAAGGGTAAACCTTTATCTGTGGAAACTCTAATGTACTAGTACATATCAGGTTTGTTTGAATCATTCTACAAAACAAAACATTTTTTTTAAGCTCAATTAAGGATGTTGGGAGATGGGTACATGTGAATTGAATAATAGGATAATGGGTGTGCCATCTATTTTCTTCAGGGTCCCAAGGTGTGCAGTATGTGACTTGGCCATAGCTCGAAGAATCGGTAAACAGGGTTACGAATGCAGAGGTCAGTTTGTATTACCGTATGTTGGTAAAGGTCTGTTTGTGCAACCATCTGTACAGATGATACTCTCAGTGTAGTTTGTTCCTGCCACAGATACTAACCATGTGCATTTTATTGCATGCACAAATAAAACACAGAAGATACAATATTACAACAAATAGTATGTGAATAGTGAATAGAAATGCCCCATTCTGCACCTTGTTACCATAATTATAGCATCGTAAACATGATTTTTTTCAACACGTAACATTGTAAAGCAGAGACTGGACATATTATTAGCCTTAACAAATTAACATTATTTTCTACCCAATTTGTGATGATTACATGTATATGTGGAGAAAGGCTTACTGTCCAGTCACATCTGTAGATAGGAAGCATACTTTTCTGTTCTTGAAAATAACAATATACATTTTCAACAACAAAATTTTAATACAGACTGCAAGCTGATCTGCCACAAGGAATGTCATTTCAAGACCGAGCTGTACTGTCCCAACAGCCGAGTGGGGCAGATGGAAATGTAAGTACAACTGCACTGCTTCTGTGTGAAATAATGAGCAGCAACAACCTAGCAATTAGGCTGCCACCCCTATCTACGAGCAGATGTGGCTATGAATTACTATGTAGGCAGTTTAACACAGAAAAAAATGTTACATTGTACTAGGTTAAGATGGTTTGATACAGAAAAGGGCAATTAGGATTTGAATTGAACAATTAAGCCTCCCTCAACATCTGCTTAAATTAATATCAATGTCATCCATCCTTCTAATATGTCAGATAGCGCTGGCCGGCTGTCGGACAATGGGGAATTCCACAAGATAGAGTTTTTCCTAATTGTGGTACAGTGCTAAAGACTAGCGCCCACTAGACACAATGCATCCATCTCTATGTTTTGTCTGTAATACTAGAATTCTGAACTTCCTTTTCCTGACATAGATTTATTTCAAGACCATAGAACACATTAATATCTTCCTATCTTCTGTCCTCTCAATATAGCACCTGCTAAATACTTCCCTGTGGATCTTCTGACAAGGTACAAACCTCATGTATTACGATTTCATACAGAGATTATATGTGCATGATTTTACTACATACTAGTACCCATTTTCTTTGCATAACATTGTCAAATTCCAGACATCTTATATTAGATTCAAAAGCCCACTTTACTATATAATCATGGCAAAGTTCTCACCTATACTACATCAATCCATTATAGTTTGCAGCACTCTACCATTAGCAGCCACTTGGGTCTGACCTTTTAACTTGTATGAGGTGGATTGAGATTTTCCAAGCAGGAGGGTATATTATGGCCTCACAAGAAAGCAACTCCCATGTCATTTGAACATCAATGGTCAACCTGCTACCTTTCTCAAAGCAATGCTGTTTGATTCTACTTCACATCACAAGTACTAGAAGTTTCCACCAGGCCTGGTTTGGATCCAATATTACACAGGATTGGAAAACATGGGGAGAAAATCATAAAATGTTTTTAACCTTCTAATCTATATTGATATTCCATTCCATTCCCCTTTCAGATTGACATTTGCGTCATACCAGGAACACTTTGTGAGGAGCAGACCAGGACACAGGTGGAGTTGGTGGGGCAGGAGTCGCAGTGGTCAGCGACTGTGAGACAGACATATAGCTGTGCCCAGAGGCACATCACATGCTGAACACCTGTAACCTGGAAGATGATCACAGGAGAAATACCCCAGTGTTAACTGCCTGTTGCTTTTATTGTCCTATATGTTATTTTGGAGACCCCTGCTGGTCTTTAAAAACTGGGATCACTATTGTTATTTTGCTGAGCTAATCTTCTGTTGTGTATGGTGGACTAGGTGGTTAAGAGAAGGTATGAGATGGTGAAATAGGTCTGAGGGCTAGTTGACCAAAATATGGTCCAACTACAGACTTAGTATGCCCATCTGAAGCTGGCATTCATGTCTCAAACGGTGGTCCTCTCACCATGAGAGTCTTAGAAGGCAAGTTCAAGGAGAATGAAAGAATGTCTGTGTTAGCAAGACTTGATTTTCAAGGTGGAACATTTCTTCCAATGTAAGGCAATTGTGCACTGTGGATTGACTGTTCGGTGGCAGTTCACCTGGAAACACATGTCTGGAAGCTGACATCACCTGAAAGAGGTGTCAACAAGCATATGAAAATTCATATTCATTTTTAACAGCAACTATCATGTTGGAAGTAAATGGATTGACACAAAGTTAAGGAAGACTTGAGATAACTTGTAAATGTGGCTTCTGTCAAGATTGAGTATTGTCAAAAGAAGAAATGTTGAGGAATGTGTGATTGATGATACTGATGCTAGATTGGCCCTTACAAGGCCCTGCTTACTTGCTATCTTATTGAACTCGAAAACACAAGTCTTAAGAATCTAGGTGTCTTCAGCAATCGACATGCGGGATTGCATGAATGGACTGAAGTCTTGTCACCTTGTTCCAAATGTACTGAAAAACTGTTGTTGTTTTTTTTAATTTGACTCATGGCAAAAGAACTAGCTCACAGTAGCTCTCAATTACATTCAGTGGAAACCTCCGTAATGAGTTTCTGCTGTACTGCAGAGAAAGAATGGCCACATTGTGAAGTTTATCAGTAAGCAGAGACATGTTGCATGGTACAAAATGAACAGCATTGTATCAAATTTTGCTAGAGGTTAATACAATTAGTATTTTAAGAAGTGTTGGGTGAAGTTTACTCTTTCCACAGCCTTTCTTTTTCTGCCACTTGACAATATTTGGAAAGTGTTCTGTTCACATTGTAAAAATCACTTCTAACTTATACTGGTTACTTTTGTGAGATGAATTGATTAAATACATGTATTTGGGGAGAGGTATGGTACATTGGATAGATAGGTAAGTTTTAGAGCCATAATATTAGATATAAACAAAGTGTTGGGGAAAAAAAACATCAAAAGAGAACTCTAATTATGAGTGAATTAAAAAGGACATAAGGAAAGTGAAATGTGGTTATCTCTATTATTGTCTCACAGAAATTATTTTGGCAATTACAACATGTATATGTAATGTTATCAACCATTCAGAAACCAGCAAAAACTGTTGCACCACTTTTTCTCTGTCGCCCATCAAAAATGTCTACTATGGGAGATTATGCTGCAGTACCAAAGATAGACACTAGGGGCCCAAAAACATAATGATCATGTCTTCAATACTATTTTTCAGGACCTAGCCACAAACTAGAATTTTAAATCTAAACATCCATCCATAGCTTCTTGAGTCATGCTATTCAACCACAAACAAAATGACTAAAAACATAACTTTCTTGTCTTAGCAATAAAGTCAATCATTTATTCATTTCACCATGATAATACAACTACCTGTACTCGGGTGGACCATGGAATGAAAAAAAAATTGATAAAACAGTCATGTTCATATTGTTTGCTAATATAATATCTGGTATAGTCTTAATAGCCTATGAGAATTGCATACCAAATGTCTACGTTACAGAAACACAATTATTTTCAAAAACATATTGTGTGCAAAAAAAAGGCAGACAAAGTCGAGTTAAATACTAATTTCAGGTCATTGCATCCAAAAATGAAAGCCTGGCTAAGTATGTCTAATTAAAACGCTAAAACAACAAAAACAGTTTCAGAGAAAATAATCATTGTTATAATGTTATTGCATTTCCTAGACTGGAGAGGATACGCGGAACGCAGCAAGTATATGCCCCATAAATACGCGCCTGGTAGTATTTATCCTGCTCCAGGTATGCGCCTCACTTCACCTGGTTCCTGCCGTGTCCATATATGGTAGTGGTTCGGAGCTCGGCACAGATCGAATGTTAGCCTCGCACACCAGGCTCTTGAAACGGGTACATACTGTAGTTGATGACGTAACGCTTCCTATTTTCTAATTTAGTAATTATTTAATAGCAACACGCAATCATCCGGAAGAGAAAATGCTTGAAAATATGTGCATTAGAAAATAGTACGAAATCGGCAGGAAATAAAAACAACAGCACTTCCCTACATACTAGAGCCAGGCTACCGAGTATTACGTACTCTGCTGTTTGCATTCAGCACCGCAGTTCGCCCGCTGCATATTGGTCTCCTGGGACAGAGTCCACAAACCTCGAGAGGAAGCTCTACAACAGGAAGTCCGCAACCACCACAGCCCGCTCTTTTTTTCAGCATTCCAATTCCTATCGTCATTTCACGAAAGCGGTCCGATCGTCAGACCGTGCGGCTTGAGAGCTCAGGAAACGGAAGTCTGAAGACGTATCACAGGTGCGTGAACATAACGGCTCTAACTCCGAGTAACTAGGAATTTCTGGCGGGCGCTTAGGCACAAGTCCCCTCCCTTCAGCCTGCAACCAACCACTGTTTCACTCGCACAGGCTCCTTCTTGGTCGACTAGAGGTAGGCTAACCCCTGTGTGGCTATTGCAGCTTCATTTTTCACTTCTATGTGTGGTGGGGGACCATTTTTAGTAACTTGACGAAACTATAATTGATGTAACGTTATCGTCCAAACAAGGAGGTTAAAAATCAACCTTGGTCAGAATACCATTAGCTTTGAAAGCTGATGGCAGGTATTTTACTAAAAATTAACAAAAAATGTTTAACAGGGACTTGACAATGTTTTGGCTCCAAATTCAGTCCGTGTTTCTTTGTAGTTTGTCGGTTTGGTGGGGGAAATTATTCTACGAGTTCACAAAGATACGAGGCGGGCTCCACGAGGCATCAGGCAACACTCTGCACCGGGCCTCGCCCTCCCCAAGTTTGAAGCTCCTTGCCCACCTTAATCCTGTCCAAAATTTCAAGGGGACGCGGGGAATATCTGTTTTCTGATTGATCAAGCTCTTGCCGACTTAAACCGCAACGAGTTAGATTCATTTGATTGTTAAGAAACAATTTTTTTTACCCGGCGGATGGATGGTCACCTGAGCCAGCGGCCAAAGCAAACACGAAATGGCCGACATGTTGGGATACTGAGGTTACAAGCTGCACCAAGGACTTTACATTTCAAGTCCTAATGGCTCCATCCCCAGCAGTGTACATTCACTAGTGATTGTACAGCTTTTCAAACAAGGCGGAAAACAACTGTGTGCAAATTTGAACTTGAATTCTTAGTAGTATGTAAACGTTAGGGTGGTGGCCGGTGTTGCGGGCTGACAGACTGCCGGGGAGGGCCGTCTTACCATATATGGATCGAAACTTCCATATATGGCGTGACGGATGTCTGCATGAATCAGATAACGGGACAGGACACTCACTATTGTAATGTATGCCAAAATGAGTCAGGTCAGAAATCTTTCCCGTAATAATCAGCAAACTCAGTTGGAATACAGAAATATGGGCGGTTTATAAATGATTTTAACCCAGAGTCTGTTCCAAATCCAATGTTGTTGTTTTTGTTATGAATTGTGACATAATCACACCAGAAAATCTAACGTTGTTTACTTAGTAGTATTACATGTTACTGTTACATGACAATTATGTTTTGGTAACATGACCCAAATTATAATTCATATGTTTAAAAAAAAACCCAGATACATTCTACAAATAACTACATCTAGAAATTTTTTCATCGCAGGAATTTATGTGGATCAGTGTAAAGTTGTGTCAATGAAGTTCTCGTTCAGGAAGTTCATCTTTAAAATTCAACTAAACAGTCGTTTCAAACACAGCGTACATACATGTACAGTGTAACAAAATAGCTCATATTTTTTGTTTGTGCCGTTTGCCTTTCTGTAGGTCCATATCATCGATTCAGTTCACTATTCTGATCAACAACCAAAAGGTGGAGAATTATGGTGAGTTCTATTTTTAAGATCTGAGCATTTTAGAATAAGATCTTCATTGGTTTGTTGGAAACTTAGAAAACTACTACCTGTATTGCCACAGACAAGGCATTTCTCATGATATATATTTTGTTGAATATCATTGTATATAACTTTTTGAATGCTTTTTAAAAATTTGAAATACATGTAACGTGAATGATAATTTTGGCCATACCATTTACAACATATTGTAATTTTTCCCCAGGCTTCTGGAATTAAAGTTACAGATGAAGTGGTGAAAGCGTATGACGAGGTGAAGCTAAAGCACATGTTCAAGTATGTGACCTTCAGGGTGGCAGATAACGAGACAGAGATCATCGTGGAGAGCAAACAGAAAGTAGGTCTTCACTGTAGATAACCCACACATAGTTATTGTTGCACAAAACTGTAATCTTACCTGGGGTAGCATTTTTGATGGTATAACGCTAATCATTAAAAAAACATTGTAAAAAATTTCATGCTGACAGTTTCTTCCCCAGAACCACTTCACTGTGGAACAAGCTTCCCCGTGGATGTTTCACCGCTAATTACAACCTCCAACGGTTTAAATCAAGGGTGAACAAATATCTGACCACGCAGTCATCATTGTAACCCAAAACACGTAAGTGGCTCTCACGAGCCTTGTTTTGAGGTGAATTCTGAAGTAAATAAAAACAAAAAAAAACAAAAAAAACAATGAATATGTAGTGAAGCGAGATTTCAGCACTTCTTTGGTAACCTACTGACATCAGTACCCCTGGTGCTCAATCCAATGGACTTTCATTGTAAAGAGCAACAGGTAAAACGTGTCAAATTCAGAGAATTTGGTCAGGTATCAACCCCCAAATGTTTGGTAACAAGTATGAAAAAAATCCTTGTTGGTAAACTTATAGCAATGTAACTGCAACTATGTTAAGTTTTTGTTCTGTTCACCAATCCCATTCCATTTGTAGACAAATCAGCTGATGAGCTGTCTCTACTTTTTATGACAGGAGTCCACCTGGGAGGAGTTCCAGGCCAGTCTACCAGATAAGGAGCCTCGATGGAGTGTGTACGACTTTGACTACAAGAACCGTGAGGGACAGGATCGGAATAAGTTGATCCTAGTCAAGTGGTCAGTGCCTTTCTTATTATGATAGATCAAATCATTCCAAGATACAGCTCTTCTTTTTTCTGTGTCATAATTTTCAGACCAAATATTCCTCTTGCCAATGCTAGTAACACATTGATTGAAAGCATCAAAAGCTATTTTGTTTAGTACTTTTTTTATACCACAAAGATTGGCTGAAAATTGGCTGTGTAACTAAAAGAAATCCAGTACAGTACAGGTACCGGTACAGATGTTTTGGTGTTATTGTTGCAGATTGTCTGTTGTAAAATGTTGATATGTTCTGGACAAACTATGATGAAGATTTTTCTGTGACAGATAGAAAAATTCTTGGGCTGTAGAAGAAGACATAAAAATTTGGGTGACAGCAGCCACCAACAGCTTTTTTGGAGAACACTGGGCCTTTTCCTCTAAGACTTTGGGAAATGACCACTCATGAAATGATTAACGTATTTTTATAATTCTTGGTATGTAGGTAGCCTGCCAGAAGCTGATTGACCCACTGCCCTGCCTAATAAGCTTTTTTTTTCTTTCCCCAGGTGTCCAGATGATGTAGGGATCAAGAAAAAGATGATGCACTCTTCAAGCTCAGATTCCCTGGCCAAGAAGTGCAAGGGTGTCGCTGTTCAAGCAAACGACCGTTCTGACCTCAATTACAATGAAGTGAGGGACAAGATCCTTGCAACAAGCCAGTAGTGCCCCAGATCTAAACACCAAATTGAATGCACTCATCATTTCCTGGGGCTTGACTTTGTATCTCTTGGCATACTATAATTTTGTGCTAGTTAATTTTCTTATGGGTACATACAGTTTGTACCACACATATTGAATATGAGCCATTCCAATTAACATGCAATTACAAAGTAACAGCATTAATTACCCTTAAACTCATAAGATGGGACCAACTTTGATGCATTAGTTTTGTCACTGTGGCATATTATGCTCTGCTAAACTTGAGCAGCCTTCCAACTGCTACAGGGAAGATGTTTCTTGGGGCTTCGTGTTGCAGGATGCAGTTTTGCTTCCAAATGATTCCAATTTTATATGTTCATGTTAATATGAAGTCATTCTTGCATGAAAAAGGACTACCGTATTGTAGAACTGGTGCCAAATTTGTTGTGTCAGAAAAAGGTGAAGTATTCCCGCCAGTAACATCATGCCACTAAACTGTTCAACAATAGTCACACATGCAGAACATTTCAGTTTGTATGTTGGGAGAAGATGCACATATCATGTCCACTAACAGCGTTACAAAGAAGTGTCCTTAAGGATGAAACTGTCACCTGTGTTTGAGATCTGCTGCAGTTTCTACTGCGTTTGTTGACCTGACAGAACAGCTTACCGGGGTATATCAGTTATCTTTCATGAATCATGACATTCCCAAAAGCTCTGTCAAGAAGCTGTTTCTACAATTCTGACCACACAGTGTATTAGATGGAAGCATACACATGGATGGAATAGTCTGTGGTCGTGAGCTGATGCGCTGATTAAAAAAGTAATACAATAAAGAGTTGTTAACTGTAATGCACAGTATTGTTGAAGTATGCAAGGCATTTGTCACTGCATTTATCTTAATCTAGTCTTGTGATTTAGAAACCTGTGATTGCAGGACATACTAATTAACGTCTGCCATTTATGTGAATAAATAGCTCTACTCTATTGAATTTAGCATTTCTTCTAATTCTTCTACAAGGCTAATCTCAAAGATGATGCTTTGATTGCAAAATCGTAACAAACTGGCAAGGCTGTATCCAATCATCCAGGCAGTGTCCAGCTGCCAACGGTAAGGTTATGCTAATTATGTATAAGGAGCCATGGGTTATGCATAAGGTTCCAAAGGTCTTGCATAATTATGCACCATTATACATAAGGTCCAGGGTTTATGCATCATACCTGGAACCTTGCACATAACCCATGGCACCTTATGCAGAATTAGCATAACTCTCAGAATCATATACACAACTATACATACATTTTAATTTCAGTTTGTGGTATCAGCCCAGCTGGATGTAAGGATGTGAAATATGGGAAGTCCAGAATAACAATAGAACTCCGAAGTGGAGGGTGTTAGACTGAGGCAAGGAGGTTAAATTCAAGTTTCTATTTAATTGTCATTTCTATTTAACCTTGACTCTGGTAATTTAATTTCTGCATCGCCATGCCTACTTCCCTCACTCCTGGTGCGCCCCCATGCGTCACGCTGAATAGTTGCACATGTAGGAGGGACGTGTGTCAGGACACCACGAGCAGCGATGTTTGGTATTCGTGGCACTATTCATAGCGCTTCACCCGTCCCCGTGCGATACAGACAGGTACCAATTTGTAAGGGCGCCAGGAGTTAGAGAAACAGGCACGTATGCTAATGAGGGAAGGGTATAGGGGGGGGGGGGCGAACACAAATACACAGTTTTCCGTCTAGGGGAGGAGGCAAGCGAGGGTTGGGAGAAATAGGCGAAAGGTGGAAGAGACAGAGGGGAAAGGGTGTAAGGTGTGACATTGACAGGGGATATGAATTTCTTTCCAAACAAACGCACACACACCTACCTTTCCCTGTAAGGCTCTGGAAGAGCATTTGCGCCTCTCTCGGACAGGGATGGGGACTTTTATCCGCACTCCTGATCCCTTCAGCACCTGTCTGGGGCGTGGTGGATGGGTGTGGCGGTGTGACTTTTCCACACGTGGAATGAATAGACTACTCCGTCTGTCCCTAATACCCCTAATCAACACCTGTAGATCACACCATGTATGTGCAATCTCCCATCTACTGTATGTAACACACCTGTGTTACTGAAGAAACTCCATAATTAGCCAACTCATCACGGTAACCACGTGAATGATTATCTCTTTTAACTTCAACCTGCACAAAAAACTCTTTTCAAGTCTCTTTTTGAAGACAGGAGTTCTGATAAACGTCGGTCTGGTACCTTTCAATAATGCGGAAATGACCTAAGCACAACGCTAGAGCGGGATTAGTTTCAATGCCTTTCGGGGGAAAATTTTACTAGTATCCTTTGCAAACACATCCAGACGATCTACAAAGGTTGTTGCTGCGATCAATGAAATCTATAATACCTTCTGAGATCTATCATGCCGGGGCTGAACTTGGCTTGTGTTACACAAACTCTCGCTCCGACTGGGGCGTGGTCTGACTCTGAGAGACGGGCCGCTAGGAGCGCGATTTAGCCAGGCTGGGCTGAACTATTGGGTACTCGTAATAGATCTAGAGATTTTCATTGCATTGTTCGCTCGTCATACAAAATATTCTACTGAAAATGTATACACATTCATGATACTAGCTGCAAGTCGGTATTTGCAATTTGTAGAAATTTGGTAAAAAAAAAGCTCGCTGATCTGATTTTTCGGCACATGCATTGTGTAATGTACCCGGAATTTGGAGACAGGAACACTCTTTGTTTACAAAGACAGAGTCTCTAAACATATAACAGAAATGCAATGCAAGGTTTACTTTAAGCCGAATGTTGATTATTCTGTAAACCCTATCAATAGTCAATGACACGCAATGTAAAAAAGCGCAAGCTAGTAACTTGAGAGGAAATCACGGTACGCAGGGTACGTATACCATGCTGAAGCCGTGCCATATATCTGAGTTGCGTATTGTCCAGGTATTATCTGTATACCAGGTATTATCTGTATATACGTAGCCTGAGTGCTGTCCTAATCCGAAGTTACCATCGGCCGCGGCGGCTTCCTTTGTACCACAGAACCACAGAGCAAGAGACGTCAGTATATTACGGATGATACCCATGGGCTCGATAGACTCCCATCTGTTCTGTAAGTTGTGCACCATTTGTGACACTTGTAACGTTTAATACGTTGGCATGTGTTATATATACGGCAAACGATGCGTATAACTTATATACATGTACACGTGTACAATTAACTACTGTTGGAAGTTGCCTGTAAGCTACAGCCTTTAAACTGAAATCTACATTGAATCCTGAAAGTTTTACCAATGCTCTTTGTCAAAGAATAAGATACCTGCATATCATACAATTGCTGTGCCACGTTCAATTAGTGACTTCGATTCTTGTTACTAAGTATGTAATTTGGTCCAATCTTACCATTTCCAAAGTCACACAGTACGGACACCTCGCATTCCGCACGTTTTATTACGGTTGACATTGTACCGGTATATCCAACTTGGCTCCCTCCTTGTGCAAACTCAGTGAAAACCTAGCCAGCTGACAACGCCGCTATCGTCTTATTGCATGAAGCTACGTCCGTGCTCTCCTATTTTCTTGTCTGTTCAAGAGTTTGGGGGTCAATCATTGCCATGCTTTATATACTGTAAAATACGGAAAATCCATTTTAAAAAGCCCGCCACGTAACTAGCATTTAAGTCGGCATCT